CTGAACGAATATTTAGTGACGTCTTTTTTAATGCTTTGTATCTCTGGGACACCAGAAGATAAAATTTTGAAACAAATTGGTCCTCATTCCGAAAAGAACAGGCAATAATCTGATATAAGTAAAAATTTCATTTTGCCTCTGTTGCACATTACAGCACAGTATAAAAAAAGTAAAAAACAGTGCTCTGGTCTTTTAGGTATAACATCTACAAGAGAAAATTAGAAATGTTATTGAATTAAATTACAATGATCTACAAAGTTTTTTCTTTAAGCCGAACAAAAATTCGTCGAAATCCGACAAAGAATAACAAAAATATTGCAACGTGAAAAATTGCAAAATTTTAGTTGTCCGGTTAATTTTGGCGGCCAGTGTATTTTTGTGATTTAACTAAATCGTAAAAAAAGAAAAATTTTGAAAAACAAAATTTTTGTCATATTACATTTTATTTTTATATTTCAAGTCTTCTGCAGTCAATTTTATCTTTTCTTTGCCTGGAGAAACGAAATAAAATAGAGAAGTCGCTAAAGTACGAAAGACATTAGTTAGCTGCACTGAAAGAATAGTAGGTGGCAGAAATCGATACAAGTGCGCGCATCGAGTGGAAAATCGTGCGGAAAATTGCATCGTTGATATTAACATACCTAAAATAAAAGAATATTGATGGTGTCATAACAAGAATAAAGTTTCATTTTAATATTATCCCTCGCGTACGGGATATCATCGCTACGAGGCATATTGAAGGGGGTGCGAGGTAAGCAATATAAATATTTAGGTTGGTTTTTTATTCGAGGGTGGAGTGAAATTCGAGATGATGACAATGTAAATTTTAGGGTTTTTCAATGTCACCGTCAGATATCAAATATCGACACCACCACAAAATTGTGTGGTGGGTTTCTATTAATTTATTCTGAAACTAAATATATAATTAATAACACATTTAACTAATCCGTGTATTTTGAGTGAAGAAGGTGGTGAAGCGGTTAATATAAAATTACTAAAACCATCATATAACATTTCCGCTGCAATAAACACGCTTTCGGTGCCAAGAACGCCAAATTTAATATCAGGGCATTAGGTTAATATAAAATTGAGCCTGAAGAGTGCTAACATGAATTTTGTTCCACATTTACCATCAAAGATGATCGAAATATAAGATTCCAAAGATTCATAACATTGTTAAGTTTGCACTCGACATCCCCTCGTCGCAAATGTCGACGACCGGCCTTTTTTGATGGATGATAATGGTACACTCTACAGCCCCAAGAATCTATCCATATAACCACTAAGTTTTCGAGACACGTTCCGTTCAAAACAGCGAATATAACCTGTGCAAACATCGACTGCAAATCTTACGATAAGAGAAATAATTTTCGCGTTATTTATGTTTTTCGAAGGGGTAACTAAAATTGTCCAATTAAGCGATTTCATTGAAATTTTCCAGTATCCTTAGAGACATGATATCACCATTACCCGTGCCTATAAATAACTCACTCCAAGTTATATATCAAGTGATTTTAGTGAACATGCAGGTACTTTGTAAGGGAGGGAAATATCTGCCTTGTCAAGCTTAACCAAACTTTATTACTTCTCGGTTTACACCTTAATTCGCAACCGCCCGCGAGATTAACCGAAATACACCCATAACCTCGACGTAGTAATACCCACAAAAAGAGAAAAACACGGGGAAAACATTTTTCGCATTCCAGAATTGGGCCTAATAGGTAAATCCTGAACATTGTTTTCGTCTGGTATTTGAAGCTATTTAAATGTAAAGATATACGAAATAGCATTTAAAAAATCTATTTTTCTACTGTTAATCCTTATGATTTATGAATTATTCAGTCAATCCTTGTTGAATGAAACAAAAATAATTCAGTCATAAATATATAAAATATGGTAATCGCTGTTCCTTGAAGTAAGACATGCGTAACATTCCCAACTAATCGACCGAAAACTCCTGAAAATGCCTAAAACAAAATTAGCTCATAAGTTTAATAAACTGTTAGAAATTGACTCAATTCTTTATAAGACGTTGAAAAGAAAACATTAAATCTCGCTATTTAATTCAACTGCATTTTTATTTAAAACCCCCGTTGTTATTAATCCTAGTCTTGATTCGCATTGTATGTGCAATGATATGACCGTTCCTCCGCCATTATCAAGGTCTCGGCGTCATACAAAGACGCTATCAGAATAATATGTCGTTTAAACGATGTGACAGACGGCGATTAGAACCTTAACAAAGTAAAACCTTACCTCCAGGCGGTCATATACAAGTCGCATACTATTACTAACACTTCCTAAACACAGGATATTTCCGGTTGGGTAAAGCGATGGGGAAATTGTTCCGGTTTAGAACATAGCGGCGAACAGTTGATTAGCCCTACGGGGGTTGGTAGGTGAATTTAGCGTTTTCGGGGGGGCGCAGACGCCGGCTATTAATACACTGCCCTCGGGGATTAACCGCAACTCTAAAATATTATATAAGCCGATTGCCACCGACTTTTTCTGAGCCGGGATAACGCGATTAGAGAATTATTATTAGCCAAATCTCACAAATACAAAAATATTCGCTTTAAGACAAATCCAAATCTGTGCAAACAAGTTCAATGCGAAAAAGGTGCTTATTTTGAAAGAAAAGCGTAACGACCGAAAGCGGAGAATGCAGGAAAGAAACAAAAATAAAATATAGGAACCGTAATAAGGGAGTCATAAAATTTTAAATGTAGCTATATGAATGAAAAACTTATATATAAAAAAAAATATAGAAGAAAACGGATAATAACAAATTGCTTTCTATATTTACGAGTAAAACCTAAAATATATAAAAACGTGACATGAGATTTTATAGATGTACAGGTAATAAATAAACTCATAAATAAAACAAAATAATAGGAACCTAATTTTTTATGTGAAAAAATGTTACTCGGGTAAGTGAATTTCGCTGATTTATGAGTGATAAAAAGAAGTAACTTAAAATTGGTAGAGGGTGAATAAAAGATAACAAAGATCGATAATAACAGACACGAAAGTCAAAGAAATAAAAGCTTTGACCACCGACTGATCAAAAACTCATGTTACTACTTCAATTTCGCAACTCATTAAAATTCAGTAACGATATTATATTTTCCAATTTTCTATTAAATTAAGGTTACATACAGCGAGTTATTGGTGTGCACTACCTGCCTCTGCTATACAAGAAAAAACTTTCAAAGTTTTCCATCAGAAACATTTTTTGCCATAAACATTTATATCGAGACTCGCTGATACCTTTCCAAGCTTAATGGTGTTACTGCTAGTGACTGGCTTAACTTTTACCAAAATATTATGAAAGCGTTCCTCGCAGTTTTACCACATGTTGCGAGTCATCACCACAGAAAAACTTACGAACACGTTTTCTTTTTCACATCACCGCAACGACCAGAAAGATGATTTTCATACGAGGGTAAAGTTTCTTGTCGCGAATTTTTCCAACACTATTGATTCGCTTTTATTAAAGGAATGTCTGTCTCCTTGCAAGTTTGATATATTATTTGAGTTTAAAATTTCATATTTATGAGTTTAATATTGAGCTTCCTTTGTTCTGCTTAAGACATAAAAATGATGTGTCTTGTCATAAATCAAAAAAGCAACTTTCTCTGACAAGTGTGTGATCGAAAAAAAAGGCAACAGGTAGTGATTTCCGGGAAGAAATCAATGTGTTTTAATTATAATTGACGATAATTGCTTTATTATTTCAGCACGCGCACTAATTCGGTTTAAATTGTAAAGCACTGTTTGTGTCAACGGGAGTTTATTCGGTTAAAATTAATCAGATTTCAAGTAAATCATCGGAAAGCAATTGTGGCTGACCTCCCATCGTCGTTTCGCCAAATTTGAAATCTCGTATTAAAATTGCAGATTACTTATCTTTGCCTCTTCGCAAATAAAATGTTTCCTGCGTTTGACGGCCGTCATTAAGGATCGTTGTCGAGGCGTCAAAAAGTCACCCCCACAAACAACAACCCTGCTGTATAATTTGTACTTGTAAATTTCCCGACTCTTCATTTCCATCAGCAGCGGTACTTAATCATGAAGTCGCTCATTAAATTGTTATTTCTATAGACGACCACTGCATCCCTCGCACTCAGCCGAAATCTAATTATTTTTGCATTACTCTAAGTAGACTCGCGGGTAAAATTTCGTAAAACAACGGAATTCGAGAGATAACAAGCAGAATTTAATGAAAGTCACTAATTCCGATGATTAATCGACCAAAACCGGGATAATTATTTAAAATTTATTAAATGTGTTACCGCGAAACTCTGTTATTAGGTAGTAATGTTTTTCACTCGCTATGAAAAAAGTTATTACGGGCTGTACTGACCCAGTGAGAGTTAAAAATTATATCCCGGATTTTCTCATACAGCCTTAGTGTTATTGCAACCACAAAAAGGACGTTACTGAGAAAATGTCAAATTTATTACAAGAAGTGTGGTTCAAAAAAAATAAAAATGAAAAGGTAGGGAAAATCACGTGTCTTTTCCTCCACGATTTATAAAATTCTTTCAATTGAAAAAACACATTGATGCAATTGAGAGAAACAGAATTCGTTTTAGATACACATCAACAGGTGAAGAAACATTAAGAAATATATTTCCAATGAATAGCTATAAATGTCGTGCTCTATTGACTAGAAGGAAGGATTCCGATAAATGTATAATTTATCTGACTTGTTACATAAATATAAAATGATACAATTTTCTTTTCACTCCACATCGATTAATATCTTAAATCAAAAAAATTCGTATTTTCACAAATTCAGTACTGTCGTAACCAAAATGAATATTCAATAAGTAAACAGTTAAACTGTTAAATAGATATTTTTGTTCGTCTAGAATAAATTTATACTCTATATACTTTTGCGTAATATCAAATTTTGCAGTCTAGTGCACTAATTAATGTATTCAACAAATGACCGGATAGTTATCCACGCTTGAAGCCTTGTGCAAATTCTTAGGATCATCTGGATGTGAAAGTTAAAACAGGGATAATTCTAGTGGAGTAGGAGAAATTGTATAAATCACACAATCCGATTAAAAAATCATCAGTGTTTCCTGTTTGCAAGAAATGAAGTCTTTGGTGGTAAGTCGCCGTTTCATCCATCCATACCAAAAATAATCATACTTTTTAAAGGCAATTTTTCTGTTGTTTGCGACTTGTCTCGCTGATGAAAAGAAGACGGAAAAGCGTGGAATTGAGAGTTTTGGACATGGAGGCGGCGGACACGGTGGTGGTGGTCTTGGCCGTGGCGCTACTGTAAGCACAGTCAGTCAACAAGTACCAGTTCCGGTACCACAACCGTATCCTGTGACAGTCACCAGGCCTGTGCCAGTACCAGTACCAGCTCCGTACCAAGTTGAAGTGCCACGACCTGTTCAAGTACCATATCCAGTCCCAAGACCCGTTGAAGTCCCACGTCCGTACACTGTAACTGTGTCCCGACCTGTGCCAGTACCTGTCCAAGTCCCGATTCAAGTACCATATCAAGTACCGGTAGAGGTACCAGTACCACAGCCTTATCCGGTCAGTGTTCCACAACCCTATCCTGTAAGAGTACCACAGACTATTGAGGTACCAGTGCCGGAACCTGTCAATGTTGGAGGCGGAAATGGGGGAGGATTTGATGGAGGACACGGAATTGGAGGAGGAGGACATGGGGGGTACAGCTACTCCAGTGTGTCCATTGGAGACCACCACTTTGGTACCAGCTCCAAACACTAATTTGAATGATTTATTGTTGTATTGTTTCACCCATTTTTCATTGTAGGTACCCCATTTGTATCATTTTTATTTGTGATATTCTAGTTACTTTTAGTTTGTAGTTTTCGTACTGTCAATAAAGTGAAAATTTGATTTAATAATTTCGTCACGATTCGAGAAAGAATAACAGGAAACCCTTCAAGGGTAAATTGATATTACTTTTCACCCCCCTGATGATTAAATTACTTTTATGTCCACAAGATACTGCGTCACAAACATTTCAAAGGTTTCCTAATAAATTAGATCATGACATAATCAAGTGACAGTGTTATTTAAAAACTGAAACAACCCCTAAATTGAAAAGAGGGAAAAAACATGTCGTCAATTCTTCACTTGACAGATATTTCAGCTAATACACACCAAAATCCATACCCCAAATCGATTCCATCTTTGCGTGTAGTGGCCGTAGCATTATATTGCAGAAGCAATTCCACAAATTTATGAAATTCTTCAGCGAAGGGGAAGAATTTTCAACCCTCGAAAAATGAAACAAGAAACGCGTTTAGTCGGATGCTGCGAATCCAGTTACTCATTTAGGTACAATTAGTTGGCAATAATGCGGGCCTTAATTTATATTTAAGCAAGCATGTGGTGGGTGAAATTACATCTTGCCCGGAAATTTATTATTTCTCTAAACCTCGAAAAATTCGGGTAAACGCCCTCGAAACCGAAATGATTTATAAACCTCCATTTTGTCACTACAATACCTGAAAAAACGACACGTAGTCGTTTAACCCAACATGAGAATTCACTTCACATGGGTTTCAACAATGGGCGTTTGACCTAAAACCAACAAACAAAGCGCACAAAACTTTTAATGTTTAATAGAATTCAACCACGTAAAAGCAAACAATAAAAAGGCGGTGGAAATTGGACACCAAAGACGTATATTAAAACGTATTAAAGACCACCGCCTAGAAAAAACAGGAAGGTGATTGAATGTAATGAAACTCGATGCTTGTGCATGATTTCTTTGTAAAATACACGTGATTGATTTAATTTTAACGACACCTAAAATAATTTTTCAACTTGACATCCGAGATTAAGAACCTATTTAGATTAGAACTTGCTTGGCGTAAAAAATAGTTGTCTGTTTATTGACTCTGAGTCGGAATTCTTTCGGTTTACTTTACTATTCGGGAGCGAAGCTCTGGACGATTCCCTCAGGATTACCTTACAATTTCGTAAAATTTAATTTCATAGCCCTCCAATTCGCTTTATAAAATTACATCCTAGTAAATTATCATACATAAAGCTTTAAACATTACTATATCGTCTTCTAAATTAGACACGGATTCTCTAAAATAGATAAAAACAAATTGCATCACGGCCCAATAAACTCGAACAAAATCCACCCTTTCAGGTTTAACTAATTGCAAATAAATTCTGTCACGCGCTTTATTGGAATTGCAATTTTTTACCGGAAAAGGGGTAAATAATACAAACAATTATTCACGCAGATAGCATTTGGCAGCTTGAACAGGAGAAAAATCTAGATGTTTAAATTCCAATTTAAGTACTAAAATATGGAATATAATAAATTATGACGGCGTTTCGTCGCCGAGACTTTTCTGAAATATAGTCACTGCAGAGGAATTAGATTATTTAAATATCATTTTCCGAGCGGCAGTTTGTCAGACTTGAAACAAAAAATAAGGAAAAACAGATTTTTGCGAAATATGACTATGAGGCCGACAAATATAAACTGCGTCTTTTAACATTTTTAAAAACAATAAACGACAACAAATCTTTTTTTTTAATTAGCTACATGTTATTTTTGGAGATAAAGATCTTTAAAAATATTTGTGATTACAAAACTTTTGAACTCGAACTTACAATTTTCATAAAGATTATTTCTAATTCGTCCAGAGTCCATTGTGGATGATTTAGAGTAATTAAAACCAGCGATTTTCCGGTGCTAAATCCTTGTTTGGGTTTGCATTAAAGAGACAATCGGGCAAAGCTTGAAAAGTTTGTAACACATGGTCAAATCCGTGTGAAATTCCTAAAACAACCCAACAGATGTCAAACATTAAGTTGTTTCGTGTGTTCAACAACAGATTAATATTAATATCACGTTCAAAGTTCGTCAAACTTTGTATAAAATGAACTATTAATACTGTTAAGCTAATTTTAAATCACTTTCGCTTCCAAGTTCAAAGTGTCCCACGTAAATATTTCGCTTGAAAGGACTTTAAAAAACTACAAAGCATTTAAAACCCTCTGTTTATGTGCCTATACTCTTAAACTGGAACAGATTTACCGGCGTATCCTTCCCCCTATTTGTCTCAACACTAGCCATACATTCCCGGAATTCAGAAGTTATCTCCTTCCTGAAAATCCGAAAAAGTCAAGTGTAGGTGCACATTACCGTCTTTTGTCAAGATACGTTACCAGTTGAAAGCATCCCTTTCCGACCATCTGGCTTGTATATATTTTTAAGAGCCCGGCTTCTGGTTAAGATCTCGAAAGGTTAAATATCTAGTAATAAATTTCGCGTTTTGTCGAAATTTTCAAGGGTTATTTGCAAAACTAAGTTTAGTGAAGTAATTTGAAGGGCAGAGAAGCAAGCGTATAATGTGACCGTTAGTGCAACCCCCGACGGAGCATTTCCTCCCCCTTTGTGTACTTATTTTGCCCTTACCTGTCTGGATGCAACATTTATGTCTTTTTTTATAGTCCAATTACTGAGAACACGACTGAACGTCTTAACTAGGAGATACGAAGGGAAAGATGTCTAAGCCTAATCTTCACTTGCTAATGAAAGAAAAGAGGAAAAGTTATCTTTTCCTATTGGAGACAAACTGCGACTTGTCTCACCATTAAATCAAACTTTTGAAGACATAAAATAAGTTTTGTTGAATGAAGCTGGAAAAGTCTGAGATCTTATTACAAGCTTGATTCGTTAAAAATCTAGTGAATCAATTATCAAGGATATTTAAAACGGTGAGTGTACAAAATATTTGTTACTTCTGTTTCTTCTATTCTTCCGTTATCTCTCACGCGTATAATGAGAAAAGTTTTTCATGTTTTAATGAATTCTTTGTTTTAATTAATGGTAAACCCTTTTATATAATTTTTTATCCAGTGAATGCGATAAAGTCGGTCTAATAATTAAAACGTAACTTTAGTAAAGTATCACCTCTTCAAACGCGACCTCCCATTTAAAATTATAGAATGAATAATTAAGAAATTCTTTCTAATTTAAACAGTTTAATAGAATTAAACGGAAACGAGTAATTAACGCAATAAAACAGTTTGTTTTTACTAGAATTTGTTTCCAGACAGCTGAAAACAAGTGTTGTTGACAGTTAAAATCATCCCATGCATCAGAGGGGAAACTCCCGATTTATCTCTAATATCAGATGAGAAATATTAGTTTTGAACTAGTGTTTCTAAGTGTTAAGACAACTGTGTACAACTTTTCCCCCGAAACCAGCGTTCTATTGATGCAAATTAAACGAGGCCGAACGAAAGTAACACAATCCTCTCAAGACGAAGTCAACATCCGCTCGATGACACCTATCAAACTAGATTAAGTTCAATGTAAAAGGAAGTCTGTTTTTGTCCAAGATTGGTGACGCATACAGGGAACAGAAGCCGAAAGTACACTCTTAACAAATGACAGATGCACCCAGATATAATTATAGGAGGAGATATAATTAAACGCGAGAGGTCGAGCTCGAAATGTATTGTGCGGCCAGTGACCGGTGGAAAATTTGCATTTCCTTTTTTCCTTCCGAATCTCGGCTTAATAACAATCACCTGTCCCATTTAATCCCGGCCACATTATCAGGTTAATTAGTGCAGCAAGGGAAATGGACTAATGGCGAGCTCTAATCGATGAAGTTATGAATTTCGGTCGCCCACAAAGGACCATACTTTTTAATAAACACGAATCGATAATATTCATCAGAGAAGTGGTAAATTAAAGTCCGAATCTGCAGCAGATGCCAAGTGCTTTACTGGAAATCTGTCGATACGATACAAAAAATTACAAAATTATAATAATGCTCGTGAATAATAATTAAAGCCGTTAATTCAACGAGAATGTCAATACCAAATTGATGACGCCTCTCGAAAAGAAATTATTTAAATGTCCGAAACAGAATTTAATGAATAACAAACAGGATGATTTTTCGCTTCTCGACGTAAAAAATTCATGGAGTTTGCGATTTTGTTTGCAATTATTTACAACTAAACAAAACTAAACAAAACTCAGAATAAAATAATCGCTTTGTTTTGACTCATATTTCACCCAACAAAGTATTTCAAATTCCAGGAATTTATACGCTAAATTATTCGAGAATCTTCCTTAGTTCTCAAAAGGTTAGGGGAATTTCAGGCGACAAATCAAACAAACCGTTTTCAATTATTTTTGCTTGTAAGCCGATTATATTTTAAAATTAATTGGAAAATCAATGCAAAGATTAAAAATCCAAAAAGTAATTATAATCATGATAAAAATAAATAAGTCTGGTAAAGGAAAGGGAAAATGTACGAATTTCATAAAAATTTCAAAACTGCGATCATGTCAGAAAGTTTATCTTTCTGATGCACTTAGTAAATGACTACCTATTATTATTATTATTATTATTTGCACTTTGTAACAATGCTATTTTTTGCAAAAATTTTGAGATCTGTCTTTATGTAAAAAAACATATTTTATTTTAAATTAAAGTGTTAATTTTAGTTGTTTATAAATGGGTTAATAAAAAACAAATTATTTATTTTAAATTCTACTTTATTAAACACAATTTCAGTATTGCTTTAAATCATTCTTATTTATTTTTTCTTTCCGGCATATTTTTTCTGTGGGGATGTACTGGACCACGGACCGGAATTAGGGAAACGCTGTACTATACATAGTGCGCCAGAACTCGCGCCCCTAAGAAAAATGCCATGGAAAAAATTTAAAAAAAATTCTATACAAATTTCGAAGTTATGAAAGTTTAAATTTAGCACTTTGACTATTTATTTCTGTTGGAAAAATAATTTTTCAAGTTTTAAAAATTATTAAAAGAGGAAACAAGAAAGCTGTATCCTAAATTGTAACTCTGTTTAATGTTATTTGTGGCTTTAATTGGCAAAATTTTTG